AATTCTTTCAAAGCCCAAATCATTTTTAGTTTGCAGAGCTCTCTAATTTATTTTCCATGGTTGGGAGGAATCTTCTGCTAAACTAAAAATACAGTTTTACCCCCCCATTATCTCTATACATAAAGAGCCACAGAGCTTCAGGCTAGAATTAACATGAGATAGGCTATTATGACTGTAAGAACATTTAGCAATCCCTGTTGAGTTCACACTTCATAATAACAAATATCCTCTCCGTAATCTTGCACTTCCCTCCCCCTGCCCCCTTTAACTTGATGCCTTGAGGAGTGTTTGAAGCTTATGATAAAATACTAACAGTATTTACCTGTTTTGTTGATAGTTTGGGTTTCCGTTTCTCCTTGGGCAAAGACATTTAAAAATACAGTATTTGCAAGTAAATGCTTTTAAAAGTATAACCCTTGATTTCAAGAATGCCCTACAGAAAAAGGATGTCCTACTGCACTTGATTATTGAAGCAAAAGTAAATCTGCTTGCATATTTTATAATGAAGCTTCTTCTTTCACCAAGGAAGAACCTTGCAATCAGATGTGAAGGTTAAAAAGGATGCACTCTGCAACTCAAAAGCATTTTATTATCACCAATCAAGGTAATAATTAAAACCAGATTTCTCTAAGGAGGGGCTAGACATTTAATGGGTTTTACAAAGTACTGAATGTTATGCACGTGCTAAATGGTGCAAAGTACTTATGCTGTATTAAGATGATGCTGAAATTCAAAAAAAAAACCTAAGGTATAACCTTGCATATGTAAATATCTCTATATATTTTGATACACTGTGTTTTCATACAATGCAAAACTTGTTTGCCTGGTTACTGTATTAAGAATTTGTTTTCTCACCTCCTTGCTAACTCTCTAACCCCCCCCAAAATTATTTGCAAATATATCCAAGAGTAAAAAGTTAAGATGAAAACAACATCTTTTAAGTGTTCAGAGATCCAGCTGACCAAAAATGCTTCAATCTATACAGTAACATCTCACGTTGAATATATTAGTTTCCCACTTTTTTTTTTTTAATTTTGTCAGAAGCCTGTGAAGCAAATTTAGTGAACTACCAGGCAAAATATTGACATCACAGAATCCCTCATTTAAACAGACAAATTCAGTCTCCACAGATCTCACACAGTCCTCAAAAGAACAAAATAAATCAAATTATGATTCCATACCTAAATGTGTAAACCATCTCTAAACATCATGTACGGCACAGATGAATAGCAGTTCTTTGAAAAGTGATCTATTTTAGACAGACAAAACAAGAACCAATTATTTGTAAGACTAACAAAACACTGTTTCACATACATGTCCAACTCAACTTATATTGCAAAAAGATAACAAGACTGTCTTGTTTCCCATCTTTCACATTCATTTTGACAGAATTTTCTAAAATTTATGAAAATATCTTCCTGGGAGGTGAAGGGAAAATGTTTTAAAAAAATAAACCATGTTTTAAAATATAAACCATTTTAAATAGATAATCCACTGATTAATCTTGTAGTTCACTGACTTCATTCCCATCACAACCTGGCTTAGTCTAACTATTTTTACTTGAACAAAATTCAGTAATTTTATCTGTAGACCATTAAATACTTTTTGTTACAAAATATACCTTTAAATTTAATTTCAATGTTTCTGAAACTTTCATATCTGTATATTTGCCAGATGCAACTCCTCCTCTCTTCCAATGAATGAGGTACTTTCCAGTTCTTGTGAGTTTTGCAGAAAAATTACTGAAAAGTTGCCTGACCTTTAAGATGGAAGTAAATGTAAAAGCACAATGTAAAACTTTTTTTCTTGCATACATAAAAATCGTTTAAATTTGACCAAAGAAGAGAGAAGAATTTCAGACCAATAATAGCAGAGAGAACCTCCAGCATCTCACAGCTGCACCATTTCCACTACTGTTCTCAATCCTCTCTGTTCTCTCCTCTAGGACCTTCTTCATTTACTCCTACTGTTTCTGCCTTTTAAACTCTCTTTCCCAAATTTCCATGCAGGCTTTTTGCTCCACACACACCTTATACAATGGCCGCTCATCCTCTCTTGCACTTTTCCAGATCACCTTCTTCCTAGCTACTCACAGCCTGTTCTCACTGCATACCTTACCATCACCTCCCTGCTCTGGAAAGGAAGCTGTTTTCCACATTACTAATGAGTGCAATTAGACTTAACATCATGATACATGCAAACAGCCTTCAAGGGAGTCAAACACATAAATCCAACCATAACTTTCAGCCTATGAAATAGTTGATTCTTGCACAGGAAAAAAAATTCAAGCATTTAGTTGAGGTGCAACTCAAATTTCTACAGGCACTACAGTTCTCTTCCTGATGTTTGCTTTTACTCCTTTTCCCAACTCAAACTACCTTTGTATTTCAAGGCGTAAGGCCTTTACAGCATGATCTCACAAACTCCTAGTTAGATGTATACCTGATGTGCCTGTTTTCCTTGGAGCTTCTCCATGATAAAGCGTGTGCAAGCCTCTGTAGGACTTGGCATGTACCCAGTTATTGAGGCCCCAAAGACACTTATTTTTATAAACTTATTTTACACTTTAAGCATTTCATATAACAATACATTTATACAGTTCTTTGATCGTTTATCTGTCAGGTTCCTCTAATTTCCAGCTTACTCACTTCATTTTTACTACACATGGCCCCATTTAATTTTTTTTGTATCCACAGATGAAGGCCCAGAATAGATCAAACAGAGTGCTGAATTTGGGTCATTATTCACAAAACATCCCAAGACAGCCTGTCTTAGCTTGTCAGATGAAGTTCACTTGTAAAGTTTCCCTCACACTAGAAATGAAGATAAGGGGGTCTAATAATTTTCATTAGACTAACTGATACAGTCAGAAAACTTCAAAGGTTTGAAGCACAACCCTGAGAGCAATCTCAAGGCTCATATTCACCTCTTTTTTTTCCTCCAGGTGTGTCAGAGAAGTATTTTTCTGCATCAGCCTTTATATCAAAAGTATGAAAAAGGTATGACTTGCAAGGGTATCTCCATATCAGTCATTTTGTCTGAGCACCTGAACACATTCAGTTTTAAGTAAACTGAACCTAGTCACCTGGTTTAAATTAAAAATATACTTAAATATTTAAATGGATGGCAGAGTAGCTTATGTATGCACACACATACAGTTGTAATTTGTTGTACTTTCATTTGAATGTGCTCAATTCTGAGTTCATACAGAATCACACCATCCTTCTGAACACCCACCGCACAGCAGGGACTAAGGTCTACAGTGACAATTGCTCCTTCCTTCACCACACTGCACTCAAATATACTGTGATTCATACTATCACATGGACTTCACCTCTGCAGAAGACAGCGCTCTGGCCCTCGTAAATGCACTTACACGACTTGTGTTGATCATATCTGTAATGATAGAGTGGGCTAGGGCAATGGGAGCCAGCTGGCATCAGCTGTGCCTGCATCAGGGCAGCACCTGGACCCTTCCTACAGAGGCCACCCCCACTAGCCAAACCTTGCCACCTACACCCAGTAAACAAGCAATAATAAATCTGAAGAAATTAAGTTTTTCACATCACAGTCCCCAACCAACTAGAGAGTCGGCTCCCAGCCAGTTCTCTTGAATGTTTTCATCAGTGAGTTCAATACAGGAGTCAAAGGTATACTAATGAAGTATGCAGATGACAAAGGTAGGAGGAACTGTTGACTCCTTCAAGAGCAGAGAGGCCTCCTTGTGGAGAGATGGTGACATAACAGAGGGCTGGACAATTACCACTTACATGGAGTTCAACAAAAGCAGCACAGAGAGCAGGACCTGGAGGGCAAGGTGTATAAGGAGCAGCTGAAGTCTCCTGGTTGGTTCAGAGCAGAGCAGAGGAGCTGAGGGGAGGCCTCATGATGGCTGCAGCCCCTCAGAAGGAGCGGAGGGGCAGCGCTGAGCTCTGCTCTGTGTGACAGCGACAGGGCCCGAGGGAACGGCATGGAGCTGCATCACGGGAGGGCAGCTGGGGGTTAGAGACAGGTGCTGGGCATGGAACAGCCTGCCCAGGGCAGTGGGCACGGCCATGAGTGCTGGAGTTCAGGAAGCACTTCGACATCGCTACCAGCCTATAGGGTTTGGATTTTGGGTGGTCCTGTGTGGAGCTAGGAATTGGACTCAGTGATTCCTGTGAGTCCTTTCCAGCTTGGGATATTCTGTGATTCTGTGATCATTGTTTCTCTCACCACAAGACAACATTCAGGAAGAAATTTTGTGGAAAAATGATTTTCTGGCTGCACAGCTAATTAGCTCATTTGAAGAATAGCACAAACTGCTCAGTCTTTCTCTCAGAAAAGTGAGGTACTGAATGTCCATCACAAGCTCTCTCCTCCCCTTCATCTGTGCATTGTTAATGCCAGAATTTCAGTTGTGCTGGCTAACTCATTTCTAACCGATCCGATGGAACACATAGTAGCAGACATACAGAAATAAACTTGCAAAATGTGTATCGTTCACCTTACAGCGAACTGTTAAAACTCACAGAATTTGATGTCATCACACATGACCTAGATTTCGGTGTAGCAACTAGCTACTTGGAATTAATTTTCCAGAAATACAGATTTTAAGTATCACTGTCGTAAGATCCACATAAATCTTTACAGTGCTGCTATGCTATTCCAAGACATTGCTTTTCCATGCGAGGTTATAAAAGCAGGGCTGATCAGGGAGCAGCCACCAGAAGCACATTTTTTTTCTTTATTAGTTGGCGTAGACATTGGTTAACCAGGGCTACTCTATGACTACCTTATTAAAAATTGAGGATTATAATTAGACTCTGAAAGCCAGAAACATTATTACTTTTTACACTCTTCTCTCTTGTGCCCCACGGTAGCCACGAATAGGCAGCAGATGCCCGCTTCCCGCACACCCTGAACACCGGCAGCCCGGGCTGCGGAACACAGCGCCCGACCCGAGCTGCCGCCGCCGCCGCCGCCGCCGCCGCCGCCGCCGCAGCAGAAGAGGGAGGCGGAGAAGCGCCGCAGCCCGGCCCTGGCCCGCCCCTTGCCTTGGGGAGGAGGAGCCGGGCGCTGTGCGCGGTCGGGCCGCTTCCTGGTCACCTGAGGAGGAGGAAGGAGCCCGCTGAGGCTCAGGGGGCTCCGGCGGGCTCGGGACCGGCAGCCAGCATGGCTTCGCTTTTTAAGAAGAAGACTGTGGACGGTGAGCGCGGCTGACGGCGCCCAGGGGAGGGCGGTGGCGGTGCCCTCGGGGAGGCCCGGGCCCGGCGTCCCGGAAACTCGGGGGGACTCATCGGGAGGCACCTGGGAGCGGTGGCGAAGGACGCCGTGCCCCCCGGGGGGCGGCCGGGCTGGGGGCGGCGGTGGGAGCCGGGCCCCGGCGATCTCCTTTCTGTAGGTGCCGGGGAAAAGAGAACAAACGCCGTTCGTTGTCAGCGAGGGAACAAAACGAGCTGTGGGGGGAGTTGGTGGAGCCGGAATAAACAGAGAGACAAGTCGTGCAGGTCTGGGGAACGAGGGTTGTCCGTGGTGTCGGGATGGGCGGCTGAGCGCCGCCGTGCTTCCCAGCAGAAGGCTGAGGTCACTGAGCTCGCTGCCGCACTTGTGTTGTGCGGGCCTTCCGACAAGTTGGTCTCGTCATTTCCACAGCCAGTCTGTGGGCAGAGTGTTCAAACAGATGCAGCGGTGACCTTCTCGAGAGTAAAGCCAGAAAAGATCGCTTACCTCACAAGGAAGTCCAGCGCGCAGCTGGCAGCCCTCGCAAAAAGCATTGCCTCCTGTAGCCAGCATCCAGGGCAGGGACGTGCCAGGTATGGGGCACAAGCCCCCAGGCTGGCTGCATGGTTTGGCGGATGCTTTAGCAAGGAGCTGGACTTGATGATCCCCAGAGGTTCCTCTCAACACCTACGATTCTGTGATGTTCCTTGCCGGATCATTTGGGTCTTCATTTGAAAGCTGCGTGCTAAAAGTGACGCTGTGTGCCAGCCAATTGAACTTCACACAGGAAGAATACGTATCTGCTGCTTGTTCCTTCCCATTTCTGGTGCACAGTCTGTGGGGAGGAAGGAGGAGATGACGCTACATTCCCATGACAGCACCAGATCAGGCCCTGCCAGCCATCTCTGGTCCAGCCGGTTTGCAGGAACAGAGGTGTGCCCTCCTTGCCCACAGAGGTGTGTGAGGGCAGGTGCCTCCTAGGATGGCCACCAGCAAAAAGAACAAAGCTAGGAACTTGCTTCTCACTTTTCTGTGTAGCCGATACAAGTTCTCTTCTTGTCCCTCATTTGCAAAAACAAATGGAAGGAGTTGTAGTTGCAGACAATCATTGTTTTTAGTGTGTTGCTGTCTTTATTTTAAGCCATGCTGTGAGATCAGAGAGAGGAAGAAAACAAGCATTGTGCTAGCCCATATGGTCTCATGACAATTTTATTTCTTACTGTCCTGAAGTTCCTACTTCTCAAGTTTTCTGTTCTAAAGGAATTTAAGATACTATAGTTAGAGCAGGTAGTCTTGTGTGTAGCTATTAAGCCTTTTCTTTCATTTTCACGCATGCAGCTGTCCAAGTAATATCCGTTTGTCTGCCTTTCAAATTACTTGCCTGTAGCATTGTATTCACAATAATACTCACTGCTGGTTTGCTCATGTGTAGAATGTAGTGTTATGTTCTGTATCATTTTTCAGCTCTTCGTTAATGTCCATTGAAAACTCAGTTTCCTGAAGATGATCTTTATGTAGTTCTGGGAGTAGTGGTAGCACTGCAGAAGGGAGTCTGTTTTCACAGAGTTTGTTTGCAATATATGTTTATTTGGTTGAAAACATTTGGTGGAAGTGTATGTAAGTGCTGCTGAAGATTTTTTTAATTAGAACCTATTCAAGGTTGAATTAATTTCAGTCCTGAATGTTTTACAATATTTCTTAATGGGAGAAAAATTGATGCCAGCCTTAAAAAAAAAAAAAAAAAAAAAAAAAAAAAAAAGTGGCTGTGTATCAACAATTGATCTTTTATATCCTTTATGGCTTTATTTCTGTTTGTAACTATCCATTTGCACTGATTTTTCACATGCCTAAACATTTTTCAGTACAATAGCAGAACCCCATTGTGGCAGTCCTTCTGTGGATTAGACACAAAATTTAAGTGACAGCATGCTCCTTTTAAATTTCTAAGCAAAGGTTATCTAGTAGTAGATATATGAATTAGAAGTAGATAAATCTCCTCCTAAAAGCACCAGTTTATTTCCTTTATAAAGGTCAGAGGATTCTGAGTCAGATGCAGGCCTCTTACCTTCACCCAGGTGAATCACACCCATGCACCTGCTGTAAATTCTAACAAAAGTTAACTGCAACTGGCATGACTGATGCCCATATTGTAAGAAATTTTTGCTTTTAGTAAGTGGATATTACCAGTAAGTAAGCAGAACAGACAAAAGATCTGTGGAGGATGTTACATTTCGTGTGATGGTGTTCAAGCATCTGCTTTCTACATCAGTTGTCAGAAAACTTTATGCTATGAAGTCCTCCACACCTATTAACTTTTGGGAAAAGTGTGGGAATTCTAGCTTCTTGGTCTGACTTGAAGTTGAGTTGTAGAGATGTGATATATTTATGGAAGAAAGTAATCATCTCTGTTAAGCCAGAATAAGGTCAGAAGCAAGATCCTGGACTTGCATTTAAAAGCATCTTCGCTACTTTCGTGGACCTGAGAATCCCATAACTTCTCTGCAATCTGTATTAGGTTTCTTCAGCTGACTTCCCTGTTGCAGTTAGGTCTGACTTGTTGACAAAATCTGAACTCACACTGAATGTGTTAATCCTGAGTTACAGCTGAAACTTGCAGAAAAGTTTCTGTATCAAATCCTTACTGGGTGGTTAAGGATCTTGCTGTGGTGCAAAGGTTATGCTAAGTTATATGGCCTATACTGTTGAAACTATGCTATAGTCATGCTGTGTACATCAAATTGTATTTTGCCTGTATTTCATATATTTGAGATGCTGATAGTTCTGGTAGCTGACTTTGTTTTGAATGAAAAGCTGTCTAACATACAGCATGTGTGCAGAGTGCTTGGCAGACAAGATGTTTATATACAACTGAAAAGTGTTCCTAGCTGTAAATATTTTCTTTCCAGATATAATAAAGGAACAAAACCGAGAGCTAAGAGGTACACAGAGGACTATAACCAGAGATAGAGCAGCACTTGAAAAACAGGAAAAACAGCTGGTAAGTAGAACAGAGAATTTCATTTTAAAAACAAACAGCTGCCTAACGTAACAACTTGCAAAGTGCTGAAGATAGTACTCAATGGATAACAGTTGAACACTGAAAAAATTGGCTTCTCCTTTTCGACTTTTCAGTTATTAAAATTTTGTTGGAAAACAATTTAAAAGTGATTCTGATGCTCAGTCATTAACATAGGTAGAGAAAGAAAAATTACATTTGGATTTAATCACTATATTCACATTTTTTCTCTCCATTTTTAGCATTCTCTATCCTTCAGAACGTGATTTTTTTCATACTAGGCTTTCAGTCAATGGTGTAGTAATGGAAAGACTGAAAGGTGTTTATGCTGACAGTTTTTATGACCGTAGGTATTATGAATACCCCTATAGCATTATTCTTCTTGTTCAGCTAGAAGTTTCATAAAACTAGCCAATAATGTTAAAAATATTTGCCTAAACTAAAACTTCTTTAAAACTTCATGTGTGGGAGCTATCATGTATTCAATGAATGGATGCTGCAGCTGTGTGGCAGCATAATTAGATAAATGGATGTGACAGATGGTGTGGTTTGATGCATGAAGACATGCTCCGACTGGGAAAAGCTATGTAAATCCAAGCAGTGTTTCAGTAGCTGCTGAGGTGGTGTTTCGTGACAGCAGGTCTTGAGAGCTAAAATGAGGTCACAGATTGTTCCTTGAAGCTTTACAACAGGTAGGTTGTAATAGATGACTCACTGATAAGGCTTTTTCAGTAGGAAATATTCTAATTCTAGAAATATCTTAATTTTCATGCTTATTTGTGACATTAAATTCTATCAGAATTTTTTTGATATTTGGGGGGATAAAAATGAAATTAATTATGTCTTCAAAAAGAGTTAAAATATGCTCTTCAGTTGAGACAATTAATGGAAATCAAACACTGCTTTTTAAGAGTCAGATGTGATTTATCTATCAGTCAATTTCAGAACATTTTATTATGTTCTTTCCTCTGAAAGGGAATCCCTGATACTATGCAGACAGTTCTATTTCAGTTCAGGAACCCAATAAGACTATATTAATTTTATTATTTTTTTTCAGAAGAACCTAACTGAGTTGGATAAGCCCCAAACCACTGAAAAAAAGCCCATATTGTATAGCAGCTTCCTATCCAAATTCTGCTAAGTTAAGAATAAAATAATGTATATATATTATTTGATCTATTATCTGGATTATTTGTAGCCTGGCCTTGAATGCCCCCAGGGATGGGGCATCCACAACCTCCTTGGGCAACCTGTTCCAGTGTGTCACCACCCTCTGTGTGAAAAACTTCCTCCTAATGCCTAACATCTATGCCTACTTAGGAAGAAGATATCTTTCCATCTATTTCTGGCCTCTAATATTTGAATAGTCTTATGTTCCTTACTTGCTGACTTGCATTTTGAGTTGAAAATAGTATTTATAACACAGGCCTTCAGAAATTACAGGCTTTCAGGGAAGTCCTTGTGCTAGTACCATCTCTGTGGTAAACTTAACCATGGTCTTTCCTAGTTGTAAAGTTAATGCAACGAGACAGTTTATATTTGCCTTTAAACATGACTGTTTTTCATATTGTAGTAACCAGTGTTTACTTTTTCAGAGCAACATATCTTCTCATTAGTACATTTTTCTGGACTACTAGCGTACATAAAGTGAAGTATTTGTATTCCTGTAGAAGGTATATTTTCATGAAGAATTACAGTGCTGGTCTTAAAGCTGCTGCTTCTTAATCGTAGAAGTCAAAATGCACAACTGGCCTCATAAGAAGAACTAAGTTATTATGGCAAGATCTTCTTAAGGCTGAAGAAGAAAGTTGTTTAGAAAGTCTGTATTAACAAAAACACAAATCAAAAGGCATAATTTGAAAAAATCCCTGCTAACAGAATTATTTGTGCCAAACTTTTCCCTGGTACTTCTATATCTGCAGTTTCCCTGAGCTGATAAATAAGTCTGTTTCTTATTAGCCAGTAGTGTCTACGTTAAGTGCATGTTGTTGTAGACAAATTACAGTGCTTTTATTATGTGGTAAGTTCAGGTAAGTGGCGTGGGCAAATAGAGCCTTTGTTTCCTATCTTTATTTACTTATTCCCCAAAAATTTATGAGATTATCTCTGAGCTGAAAAACTAGCAGAGCCTGTGGCTTCACTGTTTCTTCCATGGGCAGTGCAGCAGGAGTGCTAGTAAATGCAAGAAATCAAAAAAGATTAAAGTCATGGCACTAATAATTGGCTGGACATAATTATTTCTTCACTTTTTTTTTTTTTTTTTTTTAAGTGTACCCAGACATAGAATTGAACATTCACATAGAAATTAATGTGACATTATGTAAAAGTTGAAGTGAAATATTTTGGGGAATTGTGCCACCATACTACATGATTCAGTTTGGGTTTTAAATACAAAGCAGGACAGCTTTGTATTTATCTTCTGAAATAACCTTGAATAACCTCAGTAAAAGATGAGTTAACTGTTGATACAACTTAAAAAAAAAAAAAAAAAAAAAACAACAACAACAGTAAGAATAGTTAACACTAAAAATTTCTGAACTTGGGACTTTATTATAATATTTGAATGTTTGTTTTTGTTTTGTTTTGTTTTTTTTTTTTAAACAGGAATTGGAGATAAAGAAAATGGCTAAGACTGGTAATAAGGAAGCCTGCAAAGTGCTAGCAAAACAGCTTGTACAACTGCGGAAACAGAAAAACCGAACGTATGCTGTTAGCTCTAAAGTCACTTCTATGTCAACTCAAACAAAAGTCATGAACTCTCAGATGAAGATGGCTGGAGCTATGTCAACTACAGCAAAAGTAAGGTGTTACAAGCATATGCTGCATTTTAATGTAAACGTGGAGTTATTTTGCATACAGTAACTAAAGGAATCAAGGTAGTGCTTACTACCGTTAGCAGTGCTGAGGATACAGTAGGGGAATGTAATTTGATTTGTATTATGAATTTTTTGTCCAATTAGTCCTGCCAGTTAGAGCCTAACTAGGAGTATCTTCTTGGTCCAGACATCTGTCAAATGTTTGCATGATAAAATCCAACTTTAAGACCAGTGGAAGGGCTCTTCCAGTGGACATAACCACCACCACCAAAAAAATAACAGGCGACCGTGCAATTACAATTTCTTGCTTGTATGTCATGTCACAAGCAGTTCTTATTGGGGAAAAGGTGGGGAATGCTTCATCTGGAAATCAAGGCAGTGTGTAACAGCAGCTTTATAGCTTGTGTGAGGTAAGTTATTACTTGAGATGATACATTTCTAAGGAAATTTAATCTGGGATTCCCTGTCATTTTCACTCCATGCTCTAAGGAACCAGTGTTGCGTTAAGTTTTCTCACAGATCTTAGATCATAAAAGACTCTGAAAAATTTCAGTTATCTTAATCTTATGAACTTTTTTCCATTTCCTTGAACTTATAAATAAGGAACTTGCTTTTGGCAGCAGGATTGTTCAGCTTAAGATATAGAAAACAGAAGATGCACACATAATTGCAGATAAATAGTACTTCTGTCACAATCTGAGATAAACCCAGCTATGTGCCTTGCAGCTTAATGCAGAAAGTAATTGTTGCTGTGAAAAAATATTTAGAGGAGTATGTTGGCAGAAACAAACCCATCCAGTGATGAAGTTGTAGTTCTGCAGCCAAACTTTACTTTTCAGAACTAACCCACAAAGAGGTGGTGTGTCTGACTACATGACCAATCAGGTTAAACAGTTTACTGAATATATTGCCATAAGAGTCTTGTATGGGAACAAATTGATCTTGCTTTTGTAATTAATTATTACATCAGTGGAAAAATGTCTGCAATCAGTTGCCTCAAGAGGCGTAACAAAATGAATGTGAAACTTCCAAAATATCATCAAAATACTTTTGAGCTTTATGTGGCACTAATTTTAGATAAAGTTCAGTAAGTAGTCACCTGTTTTTTAATCAGGGGTCTTGACCTCTGTTTGCTAAAGATGCATAAATCAATGTAGTACAAATATTTTTTATGTTCATCTGTGAGTAGAGGAATTCTAAAGAACTAACACCCTACAAGTCCAGAACAAATTCTTCAATTAAAATAATAAGAATAGGAACACACCCTTTGAAATTCAGGTAATGTTTGAAGCATTTTATCATTATTGAGATGGTGATCAGGCACTGGAATTAGGCTCCCCAGGGTGGTGGTTACGGCATCAAGTTTTTGAGAAGTCCAAGAAGCATCTGGACAACACTCTCAGTCTCATGGTCTGATTTTTGGGTGATCCTGTGTGGTGTCAGAGGTTGAATTTGATGATCTTTACAGATCCCTTACAGCTCGAGACATTGTATAGTCACTTCAAGCAAAATCAGAAGTGAAAGAAGTAGTGCTTCTATGAAGCTAGTGGATGTACTAGCTAATTAAAGGGATGCTATCAAGCCAACTGTTACCTTCTTGGACATACTCTTTCACTTATATTGCTCGCACCTATATTTAGGTTTAGACATCCCATGAGAGATGTAGAAGCATGCTTCTTATAAGCAAAGACAGCTGTGTACTTCTAGTAAAACAATTGGTCTGTACTCGATACAAGAGTTCACTGTAAGCTAACGTGTACTTCCTGAGCACTTATGTATTTACTTTTCAGAAAAAAAATCATTTTTCCATGAAATTGTATCATAAGGAAATGATTGCAATTCAGTGTCTGTCCTCTAGTGGTGGTTGAAATAAGTGTTCTTCAACCAAATAAAAAACATACAGCCATTTACCTCTAAAATGTATGTAGCCTGCAAGTAAGGAAATGTTTTCCCCTTCTTTTCATTCAGATAAGGCAGATTTTTCCAAGTATTAAGGCAGCAGAAGAGGTGTGGTGTAAGAATGGCATATACATTTTTAAAAACTTATTTATTAGGTTAATAGAAAGCAGTATTTCTTACTAGGTGCAGACTGTACTATTAATCTATGTGTCTGCAGTTCTCATGGCATGTAAAAGGACCAAAAAATGTGAAATTTTGACTAAATTGTTTATTTTATTAGAGAAGTTTTATTCCCTCTTAATGCATATATTGGCCTTTTTTACTCTCTAACTGTATGATAATGGTGACTTTTCCCCCCATGTTATTAGACAATGCAAGCAGTTAATAAGAAAATGGATCCACAAAAGACACTACAAACTATGCAGAATTTCCAGAAGGAAAATATGAAGATGGAAATGACTGAAGAAATGAGTAAGTTCTGCATCTAGGAAAAATAGCTAGCTGCATCCCATAGCTCTCTGCAAGGGTTAAATCAGGTATAGAAATACAGATGTTTGAGGTTTTATTTCTCCAAACAAAGAGATTAATAGCAAGTGAAGAGCAAACAATACAATGAATGTCTGAGCAGAGAGGCTGCCTTAGGTTATTTAGTAGCACTGGATACATAAATCCATTCCTTCTTTATGTGAAACGCTCATCATACTTCTAGAAGGAACATCCTGGAAAGGGTTTGAGACAACTACAAGGCTTTATTGGCATAACTAATAGGAGGTCATGGAAAAACTGCTTTTCATGTAGTTGATCATTCTGTATATAGTTTTTGTTTTGGACTTCTAGCAATTCAAGTTTAACTGAGAAATTACTGATCATCTCAGCTTTATGTACATGCTGGTATGGGATGTATTTATCTCCTTACTGATTTTAAGCCACAAACTTCTTTTTGGAGGGTGATAGATAAAGGAAGTTTTTTGTTTCTGATTGTTTTTGTTCTTTATCAACTAGACTACAGAGCTTCAACACTTTATTTGCCCAGAATTGTCTTGTTGCAATTCATAAATTAGATAACAGTTCTGCAACTTATTTGGAAGAGGAAAGTTTTAGGGAACTGTAGATGGTGTTTTTGAAAAAAAAAAATCTTAAAACATAGTGGAGTGGTAATAGAGCAAATGAGCTATTTCACTGAAACCAAACGTTTTTACAAAAGCAATCATGTTGTATCATATTATACCTCCCCACATTTGCAGGCTTTGCAAGGCAGAAGTAAGAAAACCATGTCTAATAAACTGCCGCTTTTTCTTGGTATCTTATTCAGTGGTATTTTGGGAGGGTAGAAAAACAGCAGTAGATTTTTGTAGTTTCTTTGCATAATGTAATATGTTGGTTTTTTTCTTTTAAGTTAATGATACTTTAGATGATATTTTTGATGCTTCTGATGAAGAGGAGGAAAGCCAGGATATTGTTAACCAAGTGCTTGATGAGATAGGAATTGAAATCTCTGGAAAGGTATGGGTATTTTGAGTTATTTCACATATTTCTTCCCCTTTGTTGATTTCCACCCTGTTCTCCCCAAGTATTTTTTTCTAACATACTTTATTTTAAAGTCCTATTCTTGTAGTCAGGTTCTCATAAAGTGTATTCATTTGTTTAAAGAAAGTTCATTTGTCTCTTTCTAGATGGCCAAAGCTCCATCTGCTGCCAGAGGTTTACCATCTGCATCAACATCAAAAGCTGCTACCATATCAGATGAAGAGATTGAACGGCAGCTCAAAGCTCTGGGAGTTGATTAACTTGATGGTGATAGTCTGCCTTCTAATTATTCAGCTGCAGGCAAATGTAAAAAGTGCAAATACTTTTTCAATGCAACTGATGCCTAGGAAAACTCTGAAGCTGCAGAAATGACATCTTCAAGCTGATACTCTGGATGGAGAAGGAGACCACTTTGAATCAACTGATAGGGAGAACTACGCTTGCTGTGTCCATTGCATGCCGTTGTCTTGAGCAGTGGACTGAATAGGGATGTAGCTCTAATGATAAATTCATACAGTCTGAACTCATTCTCTGTTGAATTCAAAGTTTTCTTCTCAGTTCCTTTTCTGTCCTTAGAATTGGCAGTTCTGTAGCTGATGGTGTTATCTCCTAGGATAGCACCTGTATAATATATATCATTTTTATAAATCTATTCCTATAGAAGAATTATTAGTCTGTCATCTTGGCAGAAATAAAACTTCACCGTTACTCTTAGCTGAAATTATTTTGTTTTGATGACAAATAGCCTTGAAAGTCCAGCAATTTAGGCAGAAAGAAAAAGCAGTTTATGCAATTATTTCAAGTTTCTGCAGTAACTTTTAGTTGACTAAGTAGCTGATTATTCTTTTTATCAAAGGAGAAGGATACAGTCGTGCAGTTAATTCTACTGGAAAGGGATTTAGGTGTTAGTAAACTTCAATGCATGAAAGGCACTGATTGAACTCTATTGTACTGTAACCTAACAGTATTCCTGTGCCTTTATGTATATAAATCTAGTGCTCTTGATTTTTTTTTTTTTTTTTTGTCAGAATTAGTCTTTGAAAGGAGAGTAAACCATAAGAAAGATAGTTTCCACATTATGGCAAGAGCTCTGATGAGGCTCAGTGATGTTTAGAAATGCACCTGTTCAGAAATGCTATTTCTGCATCTGCAAAAAGGACATTTGCCTGAAACATTTGTATATATTTTACAGTATTTCTTAATGGGAGATAACTGTACATAGTTGAGTTTACTAAGATACAATTGAGCACACTGATGATAAACTAAATCTAATTCTCAGTTGTGAGGACAGTTTTGGATGAAACATGATAATTACTTGTCAAAACACTACAATAAAAGCATTCTGTTTCCATTAAGGTTTTATTTTTTCCTATGGTCTCTTAGCTGTATTAGCATGATTCTGGCTTTAGGTGGAATACATTTGACTAATGAAATAAAAACTTGACGTTTTTAGTAGATGACTAAGTCTGAGAATGCAGTTCCCAGTTAGAACATCCCAGATAGCGTAAAGTTCCTGAGGCCCTTACTCTGCTGTAGATTATTTGCCTGGTTGTGCTGGTATAGTGGGGCTGTTCAGCGAACAGAAACAAATGCACTGTTGTTACAAAGAAGAAAGTAAAATACCTCTTAAGACTGAAAACAGAAAAACTTTGAGGTACAAGTTTCTTAAAAACACTTTGCTGCTAGAGAAAGTGCAGGAGGAAACATTAACTTCTGTGAATCTACTGTTGTCACACCATCTGCTTTACGTTTCACATCAGCTGAGAAAAAAAGCATAGGTGAATCTTCCTATGTTTTTTTTTTTTTTACATGGATGTTGATAACAACTAGATAAAGTAAGGGATGTGCTATTAATTTGTGAGGCAGTGGATATGAACATTTAAGTTTATATATTGCCTCTCTCTCTGAAATGATTTTTTTTTTTAAACAAGTTATTTTGTAAAAATCTAATAAAAGTTTTTTTTTATTCCACAGTGGTTCTGTCCTCTAGAAGTTAGTCCTAAACATCCTTCTCTTGGTGGGCTTTCTTTGCATTGTTAGATCTGTTATCTTGCCACTGACTTTTCAGCACCTGTAAGATTTCTGATACCATTCCTGCTTTTGGTTTTGGAGAGTTTGGGGAACTCTTTGGGCTCGCCAACTACAAAAGCAAAACCACTGACTTGCCTTTTAAAGTGTTAAAATCCAAGCTTAAAGTCACAAAGACAGCAGATAAGGTCCAAAGCTTTTGACTAACCTGCTATCCAAATTACACAACTTTTTTTTTTTTTTTTTTTTTAATAGCCCCATTCTTAAACATAAGTTTGACCCAAGCAATAAAGAAGCATAATATTTATTGAGCATTTGCAGAAGTTGTTGAGTCGAAGGCCCACAAACATTAAGCATAAATTTTGACTAAGTTTGCATTTCCTTCCTCTTAAGAAGGAGTTTCTACTCTTAGGCATTGAAGGAGAAACTGTAATGCAAAGTTAGATATAAAGTGTTATTGATTGTAATTTGGTTGAAGACCAAGACTTGTGTCCCTTCTGAGTGAAGTGCATACTTTATTCTTTCAGCAGTTGCTAAAACTGGGTGATGTTAAAACTTCAGTGATGAGCTTTTTCCTGTATCTTTAGGGTCCGTGAAATACAGTAATGAAGGCATTACTATTTAGCATCAGAAAGATTGCTTATCTGAAGTCATCATCAAGATCTATGCAGTGTTTCTGGAGACCGTTATCTGAAGTTCTGCAGCCCTAATTAATATGAAAATCTTTCAGTAGCAAAATGTTTGCAGGTTTAGTTATATTTATTTCAATTATAGTTAGTTACATATTTTATAGCACTCTGTAACCAAATTACATCTCCCTACTAAGAAACAAGTTCTTTTAATATTATTTGGAGTAGACTAAAACGACAAAGAAACCAACTCAGTCCCTCATACTCCTTTATCCTTGCTCACACCTTAACAGGAACTGAAAGTCTTCTATCCAGAAAGAACAACACAATTGCTTGATGCACCTAAAAACAGCTATACTGAGGCAGACCATAGTCCATGTCACACAGAATCCCACTCCTCTGATGCCTGTAAGCGGTACCCAAGACAACAAAAGAACAAGATAAAGAAAATAAAGGTTGGAAGAGAGATTAGTAGTCATCTATTGAAGTTATTTCCAGAAGGTACATAATTTTACTGTATATGGCAGTTTGAGTGGCTTTCTCTTCTGCAGTCTCAGTCACATGAATAAATTGTTAGCACTCACATTTTCTAGTAGAGGAGTTCCACAATCTAGTCCTTATCACACTGAGAATCACTATTTTGTTTTCTTTCTAACTTTACACGTTGACTTAGTTTTTACGTTAGGCAGGGTGGTGAACAACCCATCTCCATCTGCTCTGTACAGCTTGTAATTCAGTAGATCACTGTAACAGTCAATGTACATTACTTCTCAAAGAGAGATAAAAATCTAGCTTACTTAATTATTCCACTTACCTTTGATCAGTAGCTTTGTTGGTACTGGGTCCTTTTCTAAGTACACTGTCTCTTTCAGATGAGGATGATAAGGGCATACATCACACAGGAGACAGGTGAACCACAGATTTAGGCATTAGCAGAAGGTCTTGTTTTGTCCTCTGTTCTACTTCTAACAAGTTACCTATAGTTACCACTGCCAAAGTAAAAGCAAAAAAAAACCCCAAAGCTTCAAAGAAAAATGGCACAACCCATATTTGTTAAGCAGCTACCTAAACTTACTTGCAGGCTTATAAGACTAACTAACCCTCAGGCATCTGATTTAGGGCCTTTTCCCCCAGTCAAGAATGATTGATGGCAATTAGCCAGTGAATGAGTTGTTCCTAGAGAAAATTCTGACTTGCCACTTTCTCCAAGTCTAACAGCTGCAGCTGCAGCACATTAAATTGATTTCATCCAGGCTTTTTTTTTTTTTTTTTTTTTTTCCTTTCTTTAAACCAATTCTGCTCTGAGATGTTAGTATTTCCATGGTGACAGCTAGATGTGTTTAGGTGGTGACTGCTTCTTCCACTTAGTTTTTTTGTCACTCTTCTGTAACAAATGGCATTATGTGTCAATTTTCATTTTATCTTGCTAAGCTGCTGCAATTAAGCTTCACTTGTGAGACTTTGTGGAAGACAAGAAATCACAATTTCATGAATTTCTCTTGAATTAACTTACAGCATGCTAAAGTGAATAAATGAATCTGCACAACTCACAGTTAAAAAAGTTAAGTATTACTGAAAGAGAACTACAAACAATTATGTGGAAAACTGAAAGTCTAAGAATACTTTATTTGGGGAGGAAGAGAACATAGAGGCTTACAGCATCACTAGGAAGTCTTTTAGAATCAACAAAATAACTTACAATATAAATAATATTCATATTTGTCAGTAGTTTCAACATACATACAACACTAGACTACGTAACATCAGAAGTACAAAAATGCACGCTGTTGAGTGCCAGTCTTCTCAAATGTGTTTATCTTTTATCCTGTTGGAAAGCTCAGGATCTTCAACACACATACAACTGATAAAGGCAGAGGCGTGGTCTGTGCTGCTGTGGGTGAGCTATGCTAGCATTGAGAACTAACCAAATAGGGGTATATAGCATAATTTCTCCCATTTGAATGGTTACATTAGTGTCTGCTTCTAAATTAAGGGGTTGTAGCAGTGCAATTAATCCATAAAAATATATTTCCTTAATCCGGAGGCCAAACTTCCACAGTTGAATAAGCTTATGGTCACAGTAATAGATGTCAGAGACAATTTAACATGCAGGAGTGTAAAAACACAATTTGTCCATGCTGATTCTAAGTGATCTTGAATGGTAAACCTCTTTGCTTTCTGTGGGCCTATTATTTAGACATTTTCTAAATCATCGGGTCTATTTAATGGAAAAATAAAATTTATCAGGCCATTACTGCTTGCATGTACTCACTTAATTCCAGTCCTGGGAGAAGTGTAAAATACATACATGATAATGGGCTATTTAATAACAACAAGCAGGGTTGATGAGATGGCTTGATAATCTGTCCCTGGTGAGTACTAAAGTCTTTAATTTAGTTTCTTGTGTCTGGCTTTCTGATAGGTGGAGCTCTGGCACTGTCATTGGTTTTTGTTTGTTAGCTTATTGTTGTGGGGTTGTTTTGTTAGTTTTTATTGTTCTTTTTCACCTTATTTTCTCTCCAGGCTACAGGATGAGAAGGGGTTATTCTCAGTTGTTGGGGTGTAAGAGAGTGGGAATTTACAGTGCAATAAATGCTTTGGCTACTTGTTTCAAAGCAAAAAAGCCTTGTTTTTTCACTTAATACACTCTCTCATTTAAGTATGTCCACAAAAAGATTTAATCTTAAAAAAATATAACGCAGAGAAAGCCTGAAGTAATAATTAACTTATCATTCCCTACTTTTTCCCATCAAGCCATAAACTCTTAAGGCAATAGCTAAACCTGTCCAAATCAGACCTTAATGCATGCAATGAATTGGCAGGAAATACCTTTGATAACTAGCATTAGAAAACATCACTTCAACTTGGCACCTGTTTAAGGCAATGGTACACTGAAACCGAGAACACGTGAGGAGCCGTGTTGACACTTCAGTATTGGTAAGCTTATTCTACCATAAATAAAGAGTAGCTATGGCACATCTTTCCTATCTTCACCTTGAAAAGACCCAAGGAAGTTACCTGAAGTAGTTCAGTCGGAGATGTACAGCAGCTGTGAGCTTGTCCCTGAATATCAGCCAGTTTTTGGAAGGCAGCTTTTCAGTCCTCATCTCGCATTCCTCTACTGCCTTCCTGAATCACTCACATCCAGTGACAGTCCTCCAGGATCCCATCTTTGGCCATAGATAGATACTCAACACTATCAACACTGCAAGCTTAAGATCACTTCTTCATGTTCTCCTCTTCCTCATAGTTCTAACTTCTTTTCAATGTTTAATTTAGTGAGCTCAGTGTTCAATGCTGGGGGTGGGAGCATGTAATGTGCCTAATAGCTCATCATCTCTTAAAGGTTAGCTGAGTTAGATAGCTATCATGGGCTGGGGGTATGGCACGTGCATAGACAGGCTGAGGCAAAAATCTTTCTTGAACTACAGCTGCTGACACCAAGCTTTGTAACCTTTCTTCACAAGTAACACAAAGGATTTGTTTCCTCATGCTTAGGGTATCTACAACAGGGATTCTCTGTTAATCATTCAATTCAATGTGGACTGTGAAGGCACAGCACAGGGAAACTGTAACTACATGTGCTATTTCTAAAGCATTTCTGGTTGAGTGATGCCTAATAGGTTCCTTGAAGTTAGGCCTTCAACATTTCAGATATATGCAATAGCATGTTTTTCCCCAATGTTTTACAATGAAAT